AGAAGAGTGTAATGAAAAAGAGTGGGAAGCTGAAGAAGACAGAGACGATGATGAGGGAGATGCAGAAGGGATGGAAAGTGAGAATGATGAATTGGAAGAAGCTGATGATAATATGAATAAAAGGCCTCATTCCAAAGCTTATTTTGTCCTTAAAAGGTTATCAAAGATGGCCGGTAACAGTTTAATGAGTGAAATAGGGGTAATTAAAAAGCCGCCCAAACAAATTGGTTTAACCTACTCTTTAAATCTGATTAAAACTCAGAGTACTAAATCCGGCACCTCACCTGTCCGTAGACCTCCAACGATGGAAGCTTTTGCAGGTGCATATAAAATTCAGCAAGATAGTTCAGCTTCAAGCCCTGTTAGACGGTCAGATTATTCAGCAAGAGACCAAATGAAGAGTGATTTTTCAAACCGGCTGGAAGAAAGTTCCGCTGCTATGGAAAACCTGCAATTTCGTACTTCGTTATCTAGCTCCAAACTTTCGGCTCTGAGATATCCCCTTGTTTCCCAAAGAATTGGATTACAGCTGAGTAATAGAAGACATTTTCTGCCCACGACCATCGGTGAAGGCGGTCGTGATTGGATTTTGGGACGCCAAGTTCTCAATGAGGTTTCGAAGATGGGGCAAAGACAGGTAGAGAGACGAACAGAGGGAGAAGATATAGGCAAAGAATATGAAGGGGAGGCAGGAGAAGAAGAGGAAGAAGGAGAATTAGAGGAAGAGGATGAACAAGGGCGGGAACAGGAAAATGATCAGGGAGAGGAGGAGGAGGACGAGGAGGAGGAAGAGGAGGAGGAGGAGGAGAAGGAGGAGGATGAGGAAGAGGAGGAAGAGGAGGAAGATGAGGAAGAAGAGGAACAGGAGGAAGAGGAGGAAGAGGAGGAAGATGAGGAAGAGAAAGATGAGGAAGAGGAGGAAGAGGAAGAGGAGGAAGAAAAAGAGGAGGAAGAGGAGGAGGAAGAGGAGGAAGAGGACGAGAACGAGGAAGAGGAGGAGGAGGAAGGAGAGGGGGAGGTGACTGCAGAAGATGAGGAAGAAGAACTTGATGCTAAGAAAGATGAAGATGAAGATGAAGATGCAAGTGAGGAAAGACTAACTTCAGACCAATTAAAATCAAAGAAACAGGCATCCTTACAAGTAAACGTGTATTCAGCACAACCCGAGCAACACTACTTGTATCCGCACATATATCAGCCTGCATCTAGACCTTCGGGCAAGCAAGGATCGCATAGAAATAGTGAACAGATCGACTCATATTCACTCAGCTGCCCATTCAGAGTCCAAGCCAATAGGTCTTCTCGCCGTCTGGGCAACCAAGATATTCATGGCCAGTCGACTGATACTAGTCAAACGACATCGCTGTTCAGCGGACCAAGCAGTCTGAGCAGCACCACAGGACAAGGTGGTTGGAACGATGGCAGGCAACGTGTAACAAGAGTAAGGTCTTCAAGAATTGGCGAACGTAGTCAGGCTAAAGAGAGCAAAGGTGTCTCGAGCTATGGCATGTCAGACAAAAAGAGAGAAGAAATAGTAAAAAATGATAGATTAGAATATTTTATTGATGCAAAAAGAGGAGAAAGGAGGAGGATAACCAGAGGGCCATCGAATAAACGATCGCATATCAGGCGCACGAATAATGTTAATAGCCGAAATCTAAGTTCAGAACATCACATATACCAGAATCTCAACTTATTCTCTAGCGTCGAGTCCTCCCTACCATACTCAAGAACCCAAGGCATCTGCGAACAAGCCACACGATCACCTCCTCCATTACCCGCCAGAACAGGAAAAGTTATAGAAATGGACACGAAAATTCGCAATACCAAGAAAGCCTTGTCATCATATCTCTATAAAGTGCCTATATTTGGAGCAGAAACTCAATCTTACTCAACAACAAAACCCAGTGAGTTAAAACTTATATTTCTCACCTTTTTTTACAGTCCATTAATCAAAAAATACATATTTTAGGAGATTTTATCTCCATTTGGTAATTATCTGTTCCTAGCATAAGCTGATATCGCCTATTGTAACAGGAAATACAAGTTAGCTTCTTACACGATCTCACTATAAATATGAACTATAATAGGAAAGGCCAAGTGAACTTAAATAGTAGTTCATAATGTGAACCTCAACTATTAAGAGTTCTTGAATAAGTACCTATTGGCATCAGCTGACGTGGCGTGGTGGTAGAAGCTTTTTAGGTGGTAGTAAGCCTTCTA